TGGGCATCCAGTGCTTTGCTTTGCTATAAGCTACCATATAATCCCCCTTGTAGGCCCTTAAGTATCGACCCTCTAACATGCTATCCTTGCATCATTTCAGTGGTTTAGAACCACTTGTCATGTCATTTCAGTCCTTGTGGTATGCTTGTATGCTTGCATTTGATGCCCCTTTAATGCTTTATAAGGTTGGCGTTTCATGCTCCATGTTTGTGCTATTGTGTATGCCTCTAGGATTAGATCATTATATGCCATCTAAGTGGTTTTTGGGGCTTAATTTGGCATGATTTGGGACTGTTTTGATTCACTTTGATCATTCGCTTCATGTGTCATGTGATCAAGTTTAAGTCCTTGGGCTTGGATGCTGCTTTGCTTGCATTGGTAGGTTGATTTGGCAACATCTTCTACATGTTTTTTCAAAAGCTTATCATAGCTATGTGCCAATGTTTGCCCCTTTTAAGTGTGCTTGAAAGTTGTTTTCTATATGCTTAGGTATTCACCATGTTTGCATGCATGTTTGTATGCTTAGGTACTTGGCTCATGACATTTGGTTGCATGTTTAAATGGTGTTGCATTTGGCATGCATTTTAGATCAAGAAAAAGGGTCAAAAGGTTAAAAGTGTAACTTACCCTTGAAGATTCAAGCTTTTGTTGCTTCTTGGATGGATTTGCAGCTTCTTTTGCCTTCAAGAATCCTTCCTTGCTGCTGGAGGTGAGGTGGTGGTGGTAGAGCTTGGTGGTGTAGAAGGAATGAAGGTTAGGGATTTAGGGTTTTTTGAAGAATTGAGAGGGAAGAAGATAGAGTTGGCTATGGAGCTTTGAAGAATAATTTTTCTAACCCTTACAAAGAAGGCCACCAGCTAGTTATAAGGATCAAAAATGGGGTGTAAAGGTGGGGGAGAAGGAGGGCAAAACTCCCCCACAAAATATCCCCCGGATACAGAAAATATCTGGGGGATATTGCCCCACAGCTGTAAAGGGCACAGTGCAAGGAAGAGGCACGCAAACCGAGAAAATGATATGTGTCTCGAAGTACGTGCACGCGGGCACACA